ACCATTTGGGGCACTTGTGGTCTTTATAGGAGGTAGCAGAGACAAGGGGGTGGGGGAAGGAGAATGGAGTTGTACACAGTTGTGCACAAATGACAAGGTGTCCAGAGCCCTGCATCTTATTCTTCCTCCTCAAGTACTAGTTATGTGTTCCCAGCAATCCAATGTAGGCTGAGATCACTGAGACCTTACTAACTCTACCTTGGAGCCTCAGTTAGAGAAGCAAGAACAGTGAGCAGGTTAAGTGAACAAGGAGAGAGTATTAGGATAAGAGGCCTATCTATATCTTTGTGAAAGGGTCAAGGCCGGTCACTCTTCCCCTGTGGATCAGTTGTCTCCTGTGGAGACGAGTGGGAAGGGGCCTTCTCTGCATCTTTGGAATGAAATTCCCATTATTGAGAGCAAATCATTAGCTGCTCTGCACTCTCCCATTTATCAGAACCCATAATCATTCTCTTTCCCGACCCTGAACCATCTTGTGATCATGGGGCTCTGATCAACCCTGACCAGCCCAGGGAAGGCAAGCCAAAAACTAATGAGTGTTTAGCAAGCCCCCCAATGAAAGGCTGTGAGTGGTGTTGGACCAGTGGGTTGTCATTAATGCTGAGCCCCCAGGGGCTCTGGCTACCCCACCCAGAGAGGCCATCTGCTCTGAGCCGTGGGACCACCCAGCAAGACGCTGGCTGAAAAGAGAAAGGATTGGGAGGGGCTGAATGACCTCAAAAAGGCCAGAACATCTTTCTTCAGCCAAGATAGTAGGCATTGGGGGAGAAAAAAGGGAGGGGAATGGGATAGGGAGAGCAAGAGCGACTGATTTCATATTAGAAACACTGAGGGTATTCACTTGTTCATCCAAAATGTCTGAGGAGGCTGTTTAGAATTTAGTTATAGCTTCAGGAAGTTTAGCCAGAGAGAATCCTGGCTGGAGGCAGGATAGATGTGATGAACTGGAGAGGGACTTCTATTTAAGGATAATAGTTAGAGCCGCATGGGCCCTCAGAGGGCATCTAGTCCAACCCCCATATTTTTCAGATGAGGAAACTAAAGCCCAGAGAATTAAAGAGATTTGCCCAAGGTCACACAGGTAGAAAGTGAAAGAATCAGGGTTCGAAGTTCATTTCCTTGACTTCAGATCCAGTGCGCTGTCCATAGTACTTGACTACCTCTCAATGCCCAGCTGGCTCTGAGACAGAGCAGAGTTATTGATGGGAGGAGATGTTAGGGGAAATGGCTTAGGGGATCCTGGAGCTATCACACAGCATGTCTTGGACCCAAGGAGAAGTCCACACCTTGAAGGGGACTCTGGGAAGGAAGGAAAGAAGGAAGGAAGGAAGGAAGAAAGGAAGGAAGGAAGGAAGGAAGGAAGGAAGGAAGGAAGGAAGGAAGGAAGGAAGGAAGGAAGGAAAGAAGCACTTAAGTGCCCAGTATGTGCCTGGAACTGTAAACTCTTTACAAATGTTATCTCATTTAATCCTCAAAATCACCCTGTGAGGTAGGTGCTATTATTATACTCAATTTACAGTTTAGGACAGTCAGGCAGGCAAAGATTTGCTCAGGGTCACTTAGCTAGTGAGTGTCTGAGGGTGGATTTGAACTCAGGTCTTCTGACTCCAGGCCCAGCACTCTATCCATTGCACCACCAGGTGCCTCCTCCATTTCTCTGGGTGAAGAGACGTTCTCACAACAGGGAGCTGGACCTTTACTAAACTACTGCGTTTAGCCCAAGCCTAGCATTCTATAGAGTGAAGAGTTGTAAACCCCTATCCCCATAATAACCCATGGTAACCAGGAGGGAGAGTTCCCTTTGTGTTATGTTAGGCCAATGCTACTGTCTTAGTGATTCTAATATACTCCAGGGATCAAAGGCTGCTGCCCAGACCAAGCCTACTTTCAAGGCTTCCAGAACAGACTATACTTCCTGACTCCAGGGGAAGAAGCAGGAAAGTGAGAGCATGAGGGAGGTGAGGAGACAACAGTATGGGAGAACTTGCACCATTCATAATTTTTCCAGGGAAACAAAGGAAAAGAAGAGAGAGTAGAAATGGCCTGAGACCTGTATACTCTGCCTAATATCATAATATATGGAAAGGGCACTGATCTAGGAGTAAGGGAACTTGGGTTCTAGTCTTTAATAATGCATACTACTATCATCTATGACCTTGGGCAAGTCGCCTAACCTTGCTGGGCATCTGCTTCCTCATCTCTAAAACATCTCTAAAATCAATCAATTAGCAAGAACTTATTAAGCACCTTCTATGTGCCAGGCATTGTGCCAGGCTCTTCGTGTACAGATATAAAGAATACATCTTCCCTACTCTGAATGGACGTGAAAGTATAAAAAGTTTGATCATTTTAAATAAGTTCGATTTTTATTTTTCAATTCAATTATTATGAGGCTTAATGTAGCCTACTCTGAAAAAGCTGACCCGCAGAGAGAATAGTCTTTGGCCAATGACTCACATGTGCGCACGCGCACGCGCGCACGCACGCACACACAGCCAAGTCAATTGACAAGTGTTTATTAAGCATATGCTAGACACTATGGTAGGTATTGAGGATATGTCTGCCACAGTAGCCCAACCAAGTCAGGTTGTAGGAATCCAACCACTGCTGACCTTCCCACAGAACGAAATAATGAGGCTCCAGGAAAATGTCACTTCTTGGTCTTCAGCCTGATCTGTCGATTATGCTTTTCTTCCACAGTGCCTCCTGATGATCCTGTCATCCTAGGAGGACCAGTCATCAGTCTTCGTGCAGGAGACCCCCTCAACCTTACCTGCCATGCTGACAATGCCAAGCCAGCTGCCTCCATTATCTGGATGAGGAAAGGAGAGGTCATGAACGGGGCCACCTACTCCAAGGTGAAACACTGGATTGGAAAGGGTTGGGGGAAGGTGGCCAGACATGGACTTTTGTCTCAGTCCACAAGATCACAGAATACTAAAGTTGGGAAGTACCTTAGAAATAGTAATATAATCGTAGAGTTAGATCTGGATAGGACCTCGGAGATTATCTCGAACCCTTTTATTTTATAGGTTAGGAAACTGAGGCCCAGAGAGGGGAAGGGACCTGCTGATGATGGTCACACAGGCAGTAGGTCACAAAGATAGGTGTTTTTCAAACCCAGGTACTCTTCCCACTATATAATACAGGAATCCCTTCTACATCACAATTTTCCCCATTGAGGTTCTGAAATGTCACAGGTCAGAATAAGAAATTAAATGGAAGGGGCAGCGAGGTGGCGCGGTGGATAGAGCACCAGCCCTGGAGTCAGGAGGACCTGACTTCAAATCTGGACTCAGACACTTGACACTTACTAGCTGTGTGACCCTGGGCAAGTCACTGAACCCCATTGCCTAGCCAAAAAAGAAGAAAGAAAAAAAAACAAGAAATTAAATGAGAATTTTTGGGGAGTTTTGTGGAAGCAGTTGATAACACTCAAAGGCCAGCAGATGACACAGAAAAAGTTTTAAAACTCAGAAATGCATAAAATATATGTATATAGTACTGTATAATATAACCTATGACTAAATACTTAACCCAAATTTTACAGTAGGGTACCATAAACACCCCACAAAAGAAAAGAAAAAAATTCAGACTTTTTTTCTGGTATGAAGTGAGGGCCAAAACATTTTATGTGGAATTTCCAGATCGTGGGGACACTCTACCCCTAACCCCCGCAATATGGAAGGGATAACTATTGATCCCCTCAGCTCAACATGCTCTTCATCAATGAAGGATTTGAGGTCTTATTAGCTGCCCTTATTCCTATTCCAAGAAGCTGAACCCTCAAATTCAATGGACCTCATACTTTTTAAGAGAGATAGCTCCAGGATTGCCCCAGGTTCTAAACTGCCATACCAGGTCAACAGCAGGAACCCAGATTTCAGGGCCCTTCACCCCTCCACCCACTAGAGCGTGAGGGACAAACACCTTCCCTCCAGCATAGTCCCAAGCCCTTGGGCTCTGAAAGCCAGCTTATTAGGAGATAAATCCTCCAGCTTGTCTTTCGGGTAGCGAGCCACCCAGCTGTATCATTAAACATGAAAATATGACAATGGAAATATTCCAATCAGATGAGGGCAGAGGGGAAGGAAGCAGACATTCTTCCCAGACTTGGTCCTGGTCCCTTCCTAAGCCCTAAGTAGCAGCTGGGCTTTATATAGCCTCAAAAAAGAAAAGTCAGAACTTAACAGGACCCAGCTGAGGGCAGAAAGGGCTAAGGACAGCTGCCAAAAACTCGAATGACCTCCTGTCCCTCATTCCAAAGCCTGAAATTGAGATGTCAAGTTCAACTCTGCAAATATTTACTGATCACCTTCTCTCTGCCAAACACACATGGGGAGTACAGTGCAGAAGAAACACAGAGCCCTACAATGGAATCCTGAACAAAGCTCAAAGTGTTTCCAGGGGCTCACAGATTGTAGGGGGAGACAAGACCACAGAGTCTTGGTTTGGTGTAACCACTAACCATCAGGTCACTTGTCCTCTTTTTTCCCTCCCCCTTTTCAAGATTTACAATCCACTGTGGCTGCTTGGGCTCCGTCTCCTCTCTGCTAAAGCACCCAGCAATTACTCTTACCAAAATGTCACATCTATTTTTTGTAATTGATGAAGAGTAGGCCCTGGAGCAGCCAAAAGTGGGGAAAGGAAAGGAGCTTCTCTGAGAAGGGGGATGAGCGCACGAGGAGGTCTCTGCAAAGAGCTGTAATAATAATAATAATAATAATAATTAGTAATGATAAATGATGATGATGATGATGATGATGATGATGATGATGATGATGATGATGATGATGCCTCCCTGGAATTGTTCAAGCACTTTTTATTTTTCAAGGCACATATGATCCTCAAAATGATGGGTAAAAGGGACAGATGCTATTAGCCTAGGCAGCTAGGAGGCATAATTGGTAGATCACTGGACATGAAGTCAGAAACACTTGAGTTTCTAATGCTACCTTGTTCACTTACAAGCTGTATGACTGTGGGCAAGTCATCTAACTTTTTTCAGCCTCAGTTTCCTCATCCATAAAATAGGTATAAAAAAGCATCTACATTATAGTGTTGTTGTGAGAATCAAATAAGATAATATATTATAAAGGGCTTTGTAAACCTTTAAGGGCTATGTAAGTGCTAGCTAGTATTATTATGTTGTATTGTTCCAAATGAAGACACTGTGGCCAAGAGAGGTTAAATTACTTATCCACAGTCATACAGCTAACTAGTATGAAAGTCAGGACTGGAACCTGGGTCTCCAAACCCTAAATAGACTGTTTTTTCTACTATTGCTGGAGAAGAGGAGGAGACCAAAGAGTGTGGAAGGATTATATCTCCCAGGGGTTAATTTTGTGGTCAATATAATCATCTTTGCCATCCTTTTATAGGACTTTTCCTCCAGAGATGACATCTAAAATGACATCTGAGCACTAAAGGGAGCCAGTCAGTCAAGAAGCATTTATTAGGCGCTTACTATGTGCCAGGCACTGTGCTAAGCACTGGGGAGTGGTTAAAAAAAAAAAAGACAAAAACATTGCCTGAGTCCAGGTTTTCTATGCTACGCTACCTCTCAAAAACAGAAATTCTTGGATGATTATCCCTTATGCCCCTGCCCCTCACAAGTGCACTGAAGTCAGCTCCAATCCAAGTCTACTGTTAAATTTTCAGTATAAGCATTTACACCTTGGAAATTGGCAAACACTAAGGATCAGGGCTTGATTTATTATTTTGTAGATTTTCTAGACTTAAGAAAGTGATGGGGGAAATGTGAATAATGCGGATTAAACTCAGTGTGTCATGCATACACTTTTTTTTCAGAGAACCAGTTGTTAAACATTTACCAGTACAGCCCTAGGCTCCTCTTTTTCATGGTTAAGGCTACCAGATGACTAGGTAAAGGATTTGTTGTTATTCAGTAGTTTTTAGTCATATCCAACCCTTCATGACCCCATTTGGGATTTTCTTGGCAAAGATACTGGAGTAATTTGCCATTTCGTTCTCTAGCTCATTTTGCAAATGAGGAAACTGAGGCAAACAGAGTTAAGTGGCTTGCCCAGGGTCACACAGCTACTAAGTGTCTGAGGCCAGATTTGAACTCAGGAAGATGAGTCTTCCTGACTCCAGGCCTGGCACTCTATCCACTGCACCACCTAGCTGCTCCTAGGCAAAGGATAGAATTCAACAAACTTATCAAGCACATACTATGTACAAGGCACTGAGCTAGACACTAAAGGGTGCCTCAGCAATGGAAGTCACTCCTTCCATAGTGGATAAAGCTGGGGAAGAGAGCCATTTGAAAGGGATAGTTTTCTTCTCCCCTGCTTTAAGAGCATATTTCAATTAAAGTCCATTCAGCTAGAAGAGACAGAAAACATGTCAAGTGTGCAGACCTAGGATTCCTTTCCCTTAAGGAGCTCCCTGGGCACAGCTTTGACTCAATTCAGTCAATAAGCATTGATTAAGCACCTACATGGGGAGCTAGGTGGTACAGTGGATAGAGTGCCTGACCTGGAGTCAGGAAGAATCATCTTCCTGTGTTCAAATCCAGCCTCAGACACTTACTAGCTGTGTGACCCTGAGCAAGTTACTTAACCCTCTTTGCCTCAGTTTCCTCACCTGCAAAATGAGCTAGAGAAGAAAATGGCAAACCACTATAGTATCTTTGTCAGGAAAACCCCCCAAACGGGGTCACAAAGAGTCAGACAACTCAACAACAACAACAAAGTGCCTATACTATATCCAGCTCCCCGTGGATGCTATGGAGTAGTCCGAGAAAAATGACTTGTCACCTGTTCTCTATTCTGCCCTCTACACAGTAGCCAGATTGATATTTCTTTTTTTTTTCCTCTAACAAACTATTTTTTATTAATTTATTTATTTTTAGTTTTTAACATTCACTTCCATAAGCTTTTGAGTTTAAAAAAATTTTTTTGTAAGGCAATTGGGGTTAAGTGACTTGCCCAGGGTCACACAGCTAGTACGTGTTATGTGTCTGAGGCCGGGTTTGAACTCAGGTCCTCCTGACTCCAGGGCCAGTGCTGTGTCCACTGTGCCACCTAGCTGCCCCGAGTTTTAAATTTTCTCCACCTTCCTCCACCTCCCTCCCCAAGACAGCATGCAATCTGATATAGACTATACATATACATTCCTATTAAACATATTTTCAAATCAGTCATTTTGACCTTTTTTTCCTAAATTTTTAGGCAATTGGGGTTAAGTGACTTGCCCAGGGTCACACAGTTAGTGTCAATTGTTTGGTCTGAGGCTGGATTTGAACTCAGGTCCTCCTGACTTCAGGGCCAGTGCTCTATCCACTGCGCCACCTAGCTGCCCCCTCAAATTAGTCATTTTGCAAAGAAGAATTAGAAACAATAGGAGGAACCACAAGAAAGAAGAAGCAAAACAAAACAAAAGAAAAGAAAAAAAAGAACAAATAGCGTACTTCTATCTACATTCAGACTCCATAGTTCTTTCTCTGGTTGTGGATAGCATTTTCCATGGTGAGAGTTTTAAAGATGTCTTAGATCCTTGCATTGCTGAGAAGAGCTTAGTCTATCAAACTTAGTCATCGCACAATGTGGCTGTTACAGTGTATAACATTCTCCTGGTTCTGCTCACTTCACTCAGCATCAGTCCATACAACTGTTTCCAAGTTTTTCAGAAGTCCACCTGCTCATCATTTCTTAAAGCACAATAGTATCCCATTACATCTATATACCACAACTTGTTCACCCATTCCCCAAATGGTGGGCTTCCCTTCAATTTTCAATTCTTTGCCACCACAGAAAAAGGTGCTATAAATATTTTTGTGCATGTGGGTCCTTTTCCCATTTTTATGATCTCTTTGGGATACAGCCCTAGAAGT